GGAACGAACGTGATCGAATCACGAATGATTAAAAAGTAGCAGTTCTAGCCATCACTAATTTACGTACAGTTTAGAACTGTATTTGTAATCCCAACAGTACATTCTCGCCGAGATATTCGGCAATTAATGAATTCAGAAATGAATATCGTATGCACTTAATTCTGCTTGTAATTTTATATGTATTTATATTTAATGGAATTTTATGGTCAAATGAATATTCTCTATACATTCTTATTCCCAAAAGGATATTTCCTGGAAAGTATGAGAGATTATGGACCGTGTAAAATGTACACCAATTATTGCAGTCCGGTGTTACCAAATATAAACCAAACTCCTGATCAATTACCTTACGAAGATTACATTCTTTATTTTTGTTAAACATTATGTGAACAACGATCCGTCTACACGTTTGTTCACAATTGCCTTTCTTCTGCCCAGGTCCTCGCATTCGCCCCTTTGCCCCCCACCCCCTTAAAGTTGCCAGTGTCCATCTCAGAGTCCAAACTATATTTCTTTGCTCATGAACCTTCTATCATATTTTCCGCTTACACAAAGATGAGCAAGTTTTGACCGCAACAAACTTACCTGCTAAGGGACTGCACGCAGAAGGTACAATAAAACAATTGTACATCCTTAATCTCCGTGAAAAAGCGAGTTATTGACAAAATAGAAAAATAACAATCAATTCGTTGGGTATCTTGGCATACCGCAATATGACTTTGCGAATCCTTCTACAAATCTTTTTGACAAAATGTTCTGTGTTCGGGTACACCTGAGTAAGTTCTAGGTTTTAGGCCTTCGACGATATAATCCTCATTGAACGTGAGTACGAGGGCCCTTCAGGTACCGCAAACTCCGATGATTTATGGCTACACCAGTCTGCGGCAAAATGCTAGAACGGGTTGTACTGTCGTGTAAGACACGGATTATCCGTAATTTATAACAAAATCCAATTTTCCACATTCAACAGATCTGTAGGATTTTCTGATTACCTCGGTCCGTCTCTTTCGCGTTAAAGAACCCTGAACCCGATACTCAAATTACTTGTAATCAATCACGATCTGGCTATTCGTATAAGTAAAACGTGGTTCAATAAAAACAGATGATTCGATTTAACGAAAACTCTTCGATTCGTCTCTGAAACTCGCTTGACATAAATTTCCGCCAATATCCTTGTCAGAGCGGCAGTCGGAATGACTTTGAGTTTGTAGAGTCCTTTATACCTTTGCCTTGCCGACGTTTTTAGTCCTCCCTACGGGGGGTAAACTTCGAATGTGCCGATGTCAATCTCGCATCTGAATGGTCTAGCCGGGCGTCTATAAGCGCTTGTCAAACACTTGCTCATGAACCTCGAATAATTTCGTATACTTTTTGCGATAGATATTTAGATAGATTATTTCGATTCAACTTCCGTGCACGTAAGTACAGGTGTTCGTGTTCCATATTGTCTATTAAAAATAATAAAAGCATGATGAACGCGTTACATTGACACTTGTCCGCCGGCATTCTTTGACACTGGATCGGGTGCACTGCTGGATACTGGTTGTACAAACGAGTCTGTTGAAAGATAAAACCACACAATGCGCCACAGGATCCTACATCCAGCAGTATCTTTCTTCCGAGAAAAACTGGTGCGACTTCGGGGGTGGCACTGACTTTTGCTATGACAAAACTTGCCGACGTCTTCCTAAAAAAGGTGAACTTGAACCGATAATTTTCCACTAATATCGATAGCATTCTATTTGTAAGAAACCTGATATACATATAATATGTGTATGTAAAATTAGGTCGAATAATTATACATACAA